CTTCAGCTGTTTCGCATGGCCATGGCGCACCGGTCCCGCCGTTTGCTTTTCCGACGCTTCCGGCTGCAAGTGTAATTAATTAGTTTTCAATTTCACTCAGCTAAATATGCATAATTTATGTGCCGGTGACTGGCCTGAAAAACCAGCCAGGCAACGCCCAGCATCCACATGGCCATAATAAAATTTACTAGCTATTACTGAAGTTGGCTCATGGCAATATTTTTTATTCCTCTTTTTTTTTCTTTTTTTTGTATGCACCCTTACATACTTCTAAACGGGGTGTCATTAAATGGTGCAAATTAATGTACCGGCTAAAGGATGCCAATTATACTTTAAGAATTTTATAATAATCGGATGAACGCGGAATGTGGTATAAATTGTGGATTAAAATAGTAAAATACATATTTTATTCGATTAGATCGCTTCAGATCTTTTAAAGTGTTCCATAGCTTATATTTTCATTTACAGTGAATTGGGCGCCATGTCACAATATTTTGTTTAATAGTTAAGAAACATCAAAGGTGCTTACAGGGTAACTCCATGTCGTACAACCGCACACACAAAAACGCTTATACTTTGCGCGATAATTTGTGCGCCAATTGCTTTGTTTGTGTGCGTTGCGCCGTGCGACAATCGCAAGGACAACACCGGCAGATGCAGCTGCAGTCGCTGGGGTCGCTTTCTGAGCTTCCTCTATTTCCGTAACAAACATTTCCGTTTCACATTGCTGCTAATTTATTGTTTCCTTGCGGTTTTTAAATCGCCCCGCGTACTTAAAAGCGGACTGGCTAACCATAGCATACTTTTATGCGCGCTGGAAGATTGCTATATCCTTTACGACAGCAGAGATTAACAATGCGACCACCAGCCCCATCAGAAGCTATCAGCTTGCCCCAAAAAAAAAAGAAGAAAAACAGCCGACAGGCGAGCGGATGTGCTGCTGCTGTCTCACGCACGCACTGGCTGAGACTTCCGGCCGGAAATACGCATTTAGTTGCATGTAGAATTGTTACGTTTTTGTCAACAAGCAAATTATAGGAGTATTTCTTATTTTTACCGCCGTCCTGGCTACGAAAAATGAAACTGTCGTTGCTAATAAATCATTTCGGCAAATTCCCAGTGACTTTTGTTTACTTGTTGTTGTTGCCGCTGCCGCCAACTGCTTGTACTTATTTCCGTTTCCGCATTGCCAGCTAGCTAGTCGGCGGCGGCGAGGCCGAAGGACACGGCCATTTTTCTATAGCTGCCCTTCACCGTTCTGTATATGCAAAATGCGAGCATTTTCTGCGCCGTCATTTCAACTGGCATAATTAATTACCAGGGCGCGCACATTTCCCAACGGCATCGGCAATGTCGTTGCGTGTGCCACAGTGCCGAGGCAAACGGTGCTAGGCCCTAACCTCAATGCCTCACTTGACAATCAACACCCCGGAAACGGGCTCCGGACTCAGGTGCGGCTGTTGCTGACAGCTGCCTGAGAGTTAAACGGAAGAGAATATGAAATAAAAAAAAAAATATGGTAATTGGACGCCTTTAATTATATGAATTAACGCTGGGAGCTGACAGGGCGTGGCCATGATTATCATTGTTAACTGATCGAAAAGTTAATATACTGCCTTTCATTTGCTCGGCCACTAATTAATCGTTTTTAATTAAAATAATAATGAGCCTACTGCTCAACCATAACCAGATCTACAATTACACAACTTTTAAATTTTAAGCCATATTAAAATGTATATTGAAAATCCATTAAAGTACACGCTAAATAAGCTAACTTTTGTCATACACATAATTCACAATAATTATCGATGTTGCCAATATTTTGACAACCCAACATATTAGCATTGTCTCTGCTCACAAAAATGTTTGATATCCTTTTTATTGATTACCGATCTTATCTTTCATTTGTATTGATCTGAATCAATGAACAGCTGACAGACCAACTTAACTGGCTTTTGCCGCTCTCCCGAACAACACTTTTCAATTAGGGTCCCCTACACGGCGCGACGCGGCATGGCTATCTATACTGTCAGTCGTTATCGTAACGCAATTCAATTAGATGCCGCTGGGCTCATGGTCCCAAAAAAGATGCAGTGCAGCAAATGCAATATGCTGGTGCCACAAATTCCACTTTAATGGGAGTCTATGTGTGTGCATGCGTATGTGTGTGAGTGGGTGTATGTGTGTGTGTGTGTGTGTGTGTGGATGTGTGCTCGTGCACATTTGACACCATGAAATTGAGTGGGCTGCAGCTGTAGCCGCACGACTTGACAGTCTACACTTGGAAGAGGCAATCGACCTGCACAGAGCACGAGCTAGTTCCTCCGGCTTGGTCACGATTTGTGTGTGCGCTGAATAAATGGGGAAGCGCCTCAATCGTATATGAGTTATCACCTCGGGCACACTGATTTATGCAGTCGCCGAGAAAGCGACCCGCATGGCTGCTGAGATAAGAATTAATTGGCAAGTGCAGTGTGCAAATAAATTGCATAGCCCGGCAATAGGCGATGCTGGGGTTACTGTATATGGCAGTCGGAATATAGATATATACAGTGGCTAACATCCACCAGAGCGGCCACAGCCTGCATTTGGTGCACGCCCCCAGCTGTGGGGCAGCCCCTGTGCGACGTTGCGTTGCTCTTAATGTAAATGTGACAAATGTTTTACGACTGGTTGCGCCTGCATCGACGATGACTCCTGTTGACTCTGGGCAAACACCTGTAAATGGGTTTATGCCACACAACACACACACACAGATACAGACACGCACGCACACACCCAGCTAACTCCGTCAGCTTGTTTGCATTTCACGCATATTTTAGCCAGCTCTGGTCCCAGCAAAACCCATCCATTTGCATCCATTGCAGCCTTCGTTACATTTTTGTCCACGTTGGAGCTTATATACTCCCACATGAAATCTCAAACAAACCCCCCACCGTATCTCAGCTGCCTGTGGGTAGCCGTCAGTTAATTAATTGCTTCTGCTGCCTTAATTCCAGCCAAACATTTTAAGTTATTTGCACAAAATATGGAATATCAGGAATATTATGAGCCCTGCGGTAGGTTAATTTCCAACAAAAATGCCACAAAATCCATTATCCGTGCTAGTCAAACTTCCGAAACGGGGATGCGTTTCCGTTATGCTCAATGAGCACAGATCATCTATTAAGTTGTAAACAATTATTTATTCATTTTAATTCAGTAAATGCAAACTTAATGTTATCAAACTGCATACTTAATGAGAAAGCACAAATATCTTGTGCAACCCGCAGATTAAGGAGATACGACTAATACAACAGCAAAGAGCATATATTGTAAGACTATTTTATCATTATCTAGCGAGGAGTATCTAATCATATTATTATCTAATCATTTTGTGCCAGAAATGAACTTCTTTTGATAATCTATAAACTCGTCTTAAGTCATGAATATATTTTGCGTTTACTTACTGTTTAAGGTATTGACTTACGTAGTTGGCCTAAACGGACTTTAATAAACATCTTAAAATATAAATTGATGTCCGGACAGAACTTTCTATATTGGGCGTATCATTTGCCGCATAAGGCTTTATCTAAGCCCAACTTTGCAATTTAAGAGAGAGTTATAGACTTTATAAAAACTGAGACCTACGGTAATTCTGAGAGGCCTAAGTAAACTCTGGACAATAAAACAAATGCTTGATTACCGGGCTCAAGAAACTCAAAGAGCAGCTACAAATTGAACATATATTAAGGCCTGATCGGGACCAGGCACCTGTCGCCCGCATTGGCCGTAATTTCCTGCCATGGCAAGCGATCAAAGAAAAATGCAATTTCCGATTAAACGCGCCGCCCCGTTTTCTTTTTTTCTTTATGCCATAGCCAGCAGTATCCATGTTTTACGGCCCGGGCTTTTAGCTGTGAACGTGAATGCAGCTTAACAGGACACAGGTGAAAGCTATGCGGGCTGCTCACTTTGGCACACACACACACACACACACCCACATACACAATTACGCGCGTAAATTTATAAAGGATGACAAAGCAAAATAGCGCATCAAAGCCAAAAGTTCGTCTCAACTGAGGTCCTGGCCACCTGAAAAGCGGGTTGAAAGGGTCTTTTCTTATTGAACCTTTTGGCTGTTAGCAGGGAGACAGGATATTGTTTCGAAATAATGGTCAGTACCTTTAGCCTATATGCTAATGGCCAGCTGCAACCTTGCCTGTATATATTCGCAATGCATTTTCCGCAAGCAGTCCACTCAGAAAAATGTTTAATATACAAATTATATAGAGCTTAGTTAGTCTATGCACAGAAATGGAGGAAGAAACTATAATACATATTCCAAAATAGGCGAAATACTAAAGCTGCAATTAAAACAAATATTCTGTATTTTGTCATCTTAATCGGTTTGAAACGGAATCGATGCGAGCTCGAAATTGATCAAGGACCAAACATTAACCCAAACCTGAGCCTGGTTAACATTTTTTTTTTTTATATGGAAATCTTAAAGTATTTTTCCAATATTTAATGTTAACAATGTTAACAAACCAAATTGTTAAATTTTAAATTGGAAACAAATTTGACAAAACAAGATTCGAGTAAAAATGTATATTCATAAACGTGGAAAATCGGTTACACAAGCCGCAGGCGAAGCATTGGCTCGAAACGTGAATCGTACCACATTTTTTTCTTTTGTGCTTGCAGCTATGATTGCATGTTATTAACACATAAAGTACAAATTTGAAAGCTTTAAGGCCATAAAAACAATGCCACAAAAAGAATTTCCATATGCTCTGCTGCCAGCCTAACTGTTGTGATGGAATAGCCAAGCCAATAAGAATAAATAAATTGAAATACATGTGGCACATACAAAAACAGTTAAATTTATTTATAGTTAGCATCACTTGTCAATTTCGTTTGCAGCACTTGTAATTTGTTTCAATTTTTGGTATTTCAGTAACAACAAAAATAATCACATTTAAATATAGATATTTATATACACACACATAAACACATTGTTTTCGCTGTTGCTATTATAACAATTTTTCAGCCAGGTTATTATTATGCATATGGACTACATTTCATATTTCATGTGCAACCCATGGGGCACTTTTTGGGCATGAGGGATTTCAGTTCAGTAGTAGGCCTCGCATTGCATCTGTCGGCGCCATAGTGACCAGTCCGCACAGCCCACCGTTTGCACGAATCCTTTGCCGGGTGCACAGCTGAGCAGCAAGGGCGCGGAATTAACACCCGGACACATATAGAATTGATTGGGATCCAGCGTGGCCCATGGCTGGTCCTTTGCGTTCGACTCGCTGCTGTTGCAGCCGGCCGCCAGCTGGGCGGCCACTAGCTCCATTGTGGGCCGGCAGGCTGGCCACTGGTCATAGGGCAGGCAGCCCAGATGGCCGTGGCCATTGAAATAACCACGCCCCTGTGGGCAATGCAGCTGCAGCGGCATTTGGTCCGCCACAGAGCATACGTAGAATATGTTGGGATTCGGATCGCCCCACATGTTCGTGGCATGTTTGCATGTTGCATTCGTGGCCGCAACGGATGCGTCTGCAATCCGCAGCAGCATCAACATCATAATCATTAACATCATCATCATCGGCATCATCGCGCCATGCCTCAGATGCAGCTTTACTCGTTTCTCGAAATTCCGTTCATTTCTCATAAATAATTTCATCAGCAACTTTTATGGCACAACACTGTCGCGAATTCCCTTTATGTGTATGATATTATTGTTATTTGTTATTATTTTACAGCTCTATAAGCAGTATGTGTATTGGTTCATAAAAAATATGATCTGATATCCTTTAAAGCCACGTTTTAACTGTGCACCACAAAAACATTGACTGATTGATATGGTGCCATTGTCATTCACTTTTATACCCATTGCAGAGTTCTCATTGTGCCCGCTTTTATCTACTGTTTTATCATTCGCTCTGTTATTCCCATTGTCACATTGTCAAGAGTTGGGAAAATTGGAGTTGTGACGTTGTGCAGCTGTTTGCCCTCTGGGTTGCTCTCTACATTTATCTTTGTGTCTGTTGAGAATTTGCCGATTTGATAGAAAGACGGGGTTCAGTGCTTGTTCTTTGTATGCTCTACCAAATAAAAGTTTTAATGACTATCAAAACCACATATTTTACTCTAGAATCTGAATTTTATATAACTAAACTTTCTCTATATATCAAACATAAATTGTGTAAATTGTCTACAGATGTATATATTTTTATTCAACTATGAATTTATGCTAGTATGTTTGTATACTCAAGATCAAGACCAAGAGCATATCATGTTAAATTTCGCCCTACTATATGATTCTCACAAATTCAACTTCTACTTACATAGATGGCAATCACTGTATATACATATTTGTATGTTTTATATGCAATTGTTTATTTCAATTTTTATATATAAATTAGAATGGTTTATAATGAACCTGATTATACTAAATGATTTTGATGTATTTTGAATTTCTAACTCATAAGATATATACAGTACGCCAAATTCTGGCGTCCATATTTGTTGTATAAATTGTGAAAATGTATTGAACAGAAATAATTGCTTAAGCTAATCAAGAAATTTCCAATATTCAATTCAAATAATAAATAATCGTACATTTCGGATATTTCCCTAATTTATCTATAATTATATTTTGCCCAGGGCATTCAATTGCTTCTGCCTTTAAGTAGTTGGTAGACTTAGAATTCCATTCAATGTGCGTCAATACATATTTAATTTACGACGTGATTCACAGTTACTGAAATTGAATCGGCGTTAAATTCGACTACTGAAAGAGGCGCAAGAGCACAACCAACAAAAAAGGTGACAAGCGCCTTATCAATGCGATAGCATAACATTAATTGCCTTTCAAATGAAGGTAAATTGGAAATTATTGCTGCAGGGCAATCAGACAAAATTTAATTACAAACTCCAGCTAGCTACATGACAAGCACCAGAAACGTCTCGCTGTGCAGCCCTCTGCAGGTGCAGCTGCTGTCAAAAGTTCTAATTGATTTCGCTTACAGCAAAATTCCACATCGCGAACCCAGCAATTGGGCCCAGCTGCGGACCTGGGCATAGGCCATACTAAAACCTGGAAGAAAAAGTTCTCCATTTGTCTGCGCTGTGCTTCTTTGTTGTTGAGTCACGTTGTCAATTGAACTTCTTTCCGGGCGTTCCGGTGTCGTTTCTGAAGTGGCAGCCGGCTCCGTGGCAGCCACTTTTCGCAGTCTATTTTACGCGCACCAAGTTTAAATAGGGAAACTTCTGGCAGCAAAAGTTGACAACATTATCGACATAAATTCCAATAGGCATGTGGCCTGAAATTCTATTAAAACTTTACCCACAGCACATGCGCAGCAGCTGATGAAAGAATTTTCTAAGAAACGCTCATCAAATGGGTTTTTATTTAGGAATTTGCCATTCCACTTGAGATGATAAATGATAAGTATATATATATAAATATATATAAATATATGTATGTATATATATTTATATATAAACTTACTACAAAACAATAAGGAAATTGGGCCTAGAAAATAAGTTATCTAATTAGTTGTGCCTCCGATAAGCGGCTCACAGTGCGTATAAGCAATTCACGGCATCTTTAGACCATTGTCAACAAGCCATTGAAAATGATATCAAGTGAGGTGCAGATAAGTCGCTTGATTACATTTCCAAAAATGTTATAAATTCGTTGGCAATAGCTAGAAATCAGTTTAGTCTATTTTCAAGTGTGCAAACCCAAAGAACGGAAACATTCAATTCAACATGCTAAAAGGTGAAATTAATGTTATGCTATAAAACATTAAGTGATGAAAATTATAAAAGCTTTAATTTGGAGAGTATAACTATAAAAATAACTTTCAATTGAAAATAGAGTGCCAGCAACTGGGAATATATGACAAGTTTAAAAAGTATCCTTAAGCTTTAAATGTTGCTAGTAAAAGTGAACGCAATATATAAAATATATGTTACAAACTGTTTTATTTAAAAATAAGCTTTTAATATATATTTTAAGTTAACTGTGCAGTGCAGTGCATCATTTTAATAAAATTAAATAACATCCTTTAAATTTTAACAATACTGAGCCAAACCGTTGACGATTTTCTTCTACTTCCACCTGAGTTGCCAATCATGGTGGTGTTGCCACCTGTAAGGAATCTCCTACTTCTGTGACGTCACTGCTACAAGCAGGTTTAAAGATGAAACATAGTTTCGAAATAACGACGAATGTGTTTTTTTTTAAGTTATTTACAATGTAAAGCCTGTGGCTCTTTATTAATACAAGTATTTACGTATTGAAATTTCTGTTTTACCCACAGTTTTTCTGATATTTCTTGGCCTATTAGCGCTCAGCAGTGCTACCACCCTCTATACGGAGGCGGAAGAGTCCACATCTGATCCCACAGATACTACCACTGCGCCCGAAGCCTGTTTATATGAAAGACAACCCTGGGCCAGTGTTAATCCGAGTCAATACTACATCTGTGCGGACAATAAGCCAAAACTTACGAATTGCAATGAGGGCTATTACTTTGTGAGGAATGCAACTCTATCCGGCTGCATACCCGCTAAAAAAATGAATCCCAACTGTGTCAACTTGGATGTAACTGTGGGTCCCTGCACCGGCATCAATCTGAAGCAGCCGCAGGCCAGCCAAGTGCTAACCAATTTCTGGCTATGCACTGAGGAGAATGCCGCACCCGTAGAGCTTACATGTGTAGATGACAAGGCGTTCGTTAAGCAGGAAGGTTACCTGGGCTGCTTTGATTGGGAGGTCTGGCGTGCACTGCGCGGTTGCAATTAACCGAATGGCAATTGAAAGCTATCTAGCCCGAATGATAATGTCCATCAAGCATTTTAATTACGTTCCAATTTTTAGCGCGACTTTATCATGATTAAATTTTGCCAAAATGAATGAAAAATTAATTTTAAATTGAATACCAAGTAATTTACCATTGTTTGATAAGATACAACGGATCAGTTGACGCTGCTTGATAAGGGCCTTTAACTGATATATAAGACGATAAAATGCTCAAAAAACAAAATTACATTGAGAACAGATCTCAATGTGGAACGTTAAAATGAAAGCTTTTTGCAGCAAAAATTTCAGAGCTGCAAGCTGAAGCGCAAACACAAGTGAACGGTGTGTGTGCTGTCTGAGCTAGCAAAAAAAAAATTGTCACCACACATTTTACCCTCAACAAAACAACACGAAATGGCAAATTGCAGAGCACATAGCATTGAGGGAAGCGGCCAACCTGACTCGGTCAGCAAACATATGTATGTCTTAAATAAAATACACTTTTTTGTTTCGATGTGTGCGTGAATGTGTGTATGTGTGTGTGTGCGATGTGACAACTAACAGCGAGTTCAAAATGAGTTTAAAGTTCGGCATTGAAGCGCATTAGTTTGCTTTGTTAGATTTATTTTTGTTCTTTTTTAGTTTTAATAGAAAACAAGTAAGAGCGCTTCAGTCGGGAGTGCCCAGCTACGAGATACCCTCAACCAAGCGCCAGGCTGCCGATAGAAGGTTCTTCTGTATATCGAAAATGCGATCTTGGAGTGCTTCATTGCTTATTGTCCGATCTTTTCATAAAGAGTGTTTGCTTCACGATAACCACGTTTGCAGTTGGCGCCTTCAAGCTTTGAGTTATGTTTATTTTACATTTTGTCTATGGTATCGTCTAAGGGAATACAAGAACTCTAAACAATGACAGCGATGTGAGTAATGTTCTTTTATTGTTTTTTTAAAAAACAAAATAACATACATATCTTATCTAATGTGCAGCTGTTGCTATTTAACTTTCTCTTTCCGTATCAAAATTAAAACATGCCTCGGTGCCAGCTGACTATTTTTATATATTTCCTGATAGATGCATCTTGTTTGGCACAGTGTTTACCTGTGTATACCGAAAAACTGATTCATGAAAAAATGCCAAATGTTGAAGCGGGTAATCAATTTATGATTTTGTTTTTTTGCTTTGCTTACATAGGGATCAGTTAATCATTTCTGCAATAGAAATGATTTTTCGTTAGTTTGTCAAAATATCTCAATCCGATTCGGTAACCAGGAACTGACTTAAATCCAGCCTTAAATCAGTTATCATTGAAGATCGTGCGGCCAGCTAGGGAATTAGTCACGCTTTGCCGGAGCAAAGATGAATCCAACCAAAAGCTAAATGCTGTCTACAAGCGACTCTATTGCCTAGGTAATAAATGTCTGCTGAGTGCGATACAGTTCACAGCACACGCACGCACACACACATTCGCACACACATGTATATGTGAAGTTGGAGTGTCAGTGACACGAAACTGCTGCAAAAGCGCAACAACAACAATAATGGCAACTGCGACAGTGCCCCCAAATGAGTTAGTCAGGAAATTGCATTATTTGTCTTTGGCTGTTGTCCCTTGCCCAGCCGACCCGCTTCTCCCCCTCACTTTCCTCTCTCACCCTTATCCGTTTGGCTGAGCTCTGCAGCCAACTGCCGGGCACTTTAAAACGGCGCTAGCCATCTCCGCTGTGACACTGTTTCTGTCACACATGCGAATTTCAAATACGCTCTCCAAGTCACAGAAATTTTTCTGCACCATTTCCGCCCGTTGCTGCTGCTGTTGTAACTGCTGCAGCTGCTGTTGCTGCATTTTAATTGCTTGGCTTCGTGTGCCGGCCTGGGCCATTAATCCTGCACAAGTTGTGCACTGAAACTACGAAAAGGGATTTTTAAAGTCACAATTGTCGTATGTTATCAACACACAAGCAAGCACACACACACACAAAATGAGTGTCCAGCTGACTGTCGCGTCGAGAAGTTGGCCTGTAGCTAAGGGCCATGAAGCTGTCGCAACGGTGCTCAGATTTAATTGAGTTTGCAATTGTTTTGCGGCCTGGCCAACTCGAAGTGTTTCGCCAAGTTATGCATTTGAATCGCTAGCCAACGAGCTGAACTTTGACCCAACAGCACGGAGTGTTCAGTCAACGGCAAACAACTTCCGTTTCCACACATTGACGGACACGGGTCAACGATGTTGTTGGTTTAATTACGCTTGGGTGTGTGTGCGTGTGTGCGTTTGGCTACAGCAGACATAAACATAGCTGCCATAAACCATGCCAGCGACCTGCGCCAGACAGACACGGCGTATACGCAATGCGCCCAACAGTATGCAACAATATTTCAGCTTTTGCTTGTGCCTTGAGCTATTTGCACGGCACTTCCTGTCGAATGGCCATAATTGGCATTTTTTGCTCTTCTTCGTATTTTTTGTTTTTTTCTTGTTTTTGCCTGCACATTCCGCTCTTGAGCGCTGCGACAGCCACTACACAAGTCAACTTAAGCGGCACCAGCCGCAAAACCACTTGCACCCACACCATGCAACAACAAGCGCCGACGTAGCCGGTAAGCATCCCTTATTGGGTCTGCTCTTTGGCTGATTTTCAGCGTGCGCATTCCTTGCAGAGGACATGCTCGGGCAGGGCTGGATGAATCATGGTGTTCGCTGTTAAGTTGGCTTAAACTTTTCCACTTGAATGGCAACGGAAGGTTTTATGAGTCGCCTATCCCCCATCCTGCCCCCTCCACTAGCCCCCATCCCTTTGCTGGTTGCCACATTGTGTTGCAGCGGCGCATGAAAGTATGCAGCATAAAATTTGCTACGCTGCAACAAATAAATATTTGACCCAGCCCCGCTTCCCCCAAGCGAACCTACTTTCAGTACGTCCCTTACGGCCAACCCGGCGCCTTGCATTTGTATTTTATGGCGCCGCTGAATTTATATTTGCACTTAACAAGCGACAACAGCAACAACAGCAGACTAAAGTCGCGAGTGCAGCAACTAGACGATGCCCTGTACGCAGCGCTTAGCTCCAGGTTGAACATGCGGTTATCAAAATAATTGAAAACTAATCAAATCTATACTTTTTTTCAAAATCGACATCGAGAAAGCAGATATAAGCTATACGAAAACGTATATTTTACATTCAGCTTATACAAAATGCAGAACAGACAGTCGGGCAGACGGACGGACGGATACTCTATGGAGTATATGGTGTATCATTGTAACTAACCACACAACCAGTATACCCTTTGTCCTTGCATATTTTCAATGGGTATAACAACAACTTTGCAGTTCTGTGCACCAAACTTTGTTTGGCTTATTTTTCGGTTACAAATCAAATCCAAAATCGCATTAAAATTGCATGCAACAAAAAAGAAATTACAAAAAAAAAAAACAAGCCACAACATCGCGTTGCCAAAAGCCAGAACTCACAATATGTTGCAAAAGGTGTTGCAGGAATCGGTTACCTAGTACCCGGACACAAACTATTCCTACCCCCCGCCCCCCACACACTCCCCCCTGTATCTGCTGTTTATCAAGCATTTTACGGGGGCTTTTTGCCATTTCAATTGAATGTTCGTGAGACGAAATCACTTCAACGCCTTCGATTTCAATTTCCGCCACATTTCCAATTTTATTTTTGTTATTGCATTTGCATTTGTTTGTTTTGTTGTTGCATTTACTTGATTGCCATTCGACTGTTTTGCGCCCTGGCTTGTCGACGCTATCCAGGTGTAATCCTTTCCGGACTCCAGGTGTGGCCTAGTTTGGACTATGCAGTCATGGGCCAGGCAGATAAATATTAAACAGACAACAAATTCTCCTCTGTTCTCTTTCATTTCATATTTATGTGCAAAATAAATACACTCTACAGTAGTTTTATTATTTGATGCATAACCTTTTTAAGAAATAGTAAATCAAACTGATGAACATACCATGCAATACATTTAACTAGATATAAATATATAATATTCATTTTTAGAGCTTCCCATTATAAAGCAACTTTTAACTATTGTTTTCAATTCCCTTTAATTTCATTTTAAACAAATTTATTTACGTCCTGAAAGTGTAGGTCATCTAATAAGCTTTAAGTCTTCTAACGCTCAGACTTTTATTTGCCTTCTTACTCTTTCCCTCTCTCTCTCTTTCTTTCTCTCTCTCCGTAAGAGCTACAAAGCTGAAATAATGACCAACATTTCCGATACTTTAATTTTCTTTGCTGCAACCATTTTTTTTTTTAAGCTTCCAGGAATCAGTTGCATTTCGCACTTTATAATCTGACACCTCGACTGAAGTTTTTGTTTAGCTTTTAATTCTTACTTTCTGGCAGTTTTTTATAATTTTTATTACATCTTCTGTCAACTCTTCTGTAGCTTCCTGTCCCGCGCAGTTCTTTCTGCTCTGCTTTATACTGTGTCAGCCTTTTTTTCCTGCCCGCTTCCCAATGGGAAACGCACTCGGCATATTCTTATCAGGCTGCTCATTTTGCTTTTTCCTTTTTTTCTCGCTGCATACCTTCGTCCGTGCGCATTTAATGAAGGCTTAAACGAACTGGCTGGCTGGCCAACATTATGCAAAGGGAGCACATGGAAAACAGGAGCAACATCCACATGCAATACCGAGAGGCGTGCGTGTTTTATGGCAGATCAGAGAAACGCTTCTGTCGAGCTTGCTGCTGGTGATATGGCATCCATAACCCATTTGTATTACATGGCGCAGTCAATAGCGGACACGTGTCTAAGCATCTAGTTTGCTGTCCTTTGCAACTGAGTGTATGTGTGTGTGTGTGTGTGTGTGTGTGTGAGTGTATCTCAGTCAAGCCTAAGCTCCCTTACATGTCATTGTAATAGTATCATGCTGTAACAGATTGCTGTTTACCTTGATTTACATAAGAACAAACAGACACCTGCTCAGGTAGACGGGTATAGGGGGGGCCAACCGCAGCAGTGCAAACAAACGACGCTGCTCAATCGCAGTGGTATTGTTGTGGTGTTGTGGTGCAGTGGTGCACAGTGGCTACTAGCAGGCAGCGTCTGGCACATGGATGGGTTACAAATATACTTAAGCATGCACTTAGTCTTTGCGCCTTTCACTTCAGTTCGTGTCGTTGTTGACATCGATGTCTATGCATGGGCGTGAATAAGCACATTGTTCATTGTGTGTGTGTGTGTGTGTGGGTGACGGATCTGTGTGTGTGTGTGTGGAATATATGCAAATTTGTTTGCCTGCTGACGTCTTGGCACACAGAACAGCAGCAAAATGAGCCAACGCCCGCTGACGACCGTTTTTTTGTTAACAGTTTTCCATTTTCTTGATTTTTCTTTTGTGTTATTTTCCTTCCACTAAGCAAATAAAGTTATTTACATGCGCAACCAAATCGATTTGTGTGTATCAAATTGTGGCGCTCCAGAAACAATGACTGCCTCCGCGCAACTGTTACATGGAAAATCAGCCCAGGAGGTGCCACCAACTTGGCCAGAGGTGAAGTGCAGTGAACATTAAACAGTATTCAGCGCTGAAAGCCACAAAGTTTGTTCTTTGTTTTGGGCTTATTTCAAATTATTGTACAAACTTTACCTGCATGGTGCAGGATATATGGGAAACTACTTTTCAAATTCTGCTCCAGCTGGTCTGGACCTAATGGACAGATTATTAAAAGCAATAAATTTGTGGATAAAATTTAAGTTGGTAAGTTATGAAGAATAAATTGAAAAGTCAATCAAGGTGACAAAACATTAAACAAATGGATTATGTTCAGCATTTATTTAAGAATAAAGAAAGAACCATCTCAAAATGAAGAAATACATACAATTTCTGATAACCGAAATCGAAAGAAAAATTTTATAATAAATGTAAGAACTACGACATAAATGCTTGAAGACATAGGAATCTATTCCAATTTGAGAGTTATAAAAAATTAAGTTTCATCTGAAAATGAACTTAAAAATTTAAGATATAATGTTATACATTTTTTATAACTTGTAAATTTGATTTAAAACTTTTTTTGTTCAGCGCCTTTATCATTTTCATTATTCGTTAATCGATAGAAAACGAACCTAGATCAAAATGTAGCATTTGTGAAACTGGCTTTGTATTGATAAAGTCAGGTCAGAGGGCAGCTTAAGCCGGATGCTAATTGAACATGGCCTTTGAAGCATTACAAGTCAAATGTGCTCAAATTCAACACTTTTGGCCCCTGGCTTGTAATCGAAGATTAGCACACAAATAAGCAAATGAACTGTTGCCTAACCGAACCGAGCCGTGCCGATGTGGTCGAACGATGGAGTGGGCATGGGCGTGTGCGAGATTGGGGCCCATGGTCTGTCACCTAGGAGCTGACCAGAAGGCCCCATAATTAAAACAAAAAATTGTCGGCAATTTAATTAAAAGCAATTTTTGTCCTGGGCGTTGTTTATGTTGTCAGCGGGTTGAACATGGGCCATGGGCGAGCGGTTAGCTGCAGCCAAACGGGCCATAAGCCGCTTTAGGGACACAGCGGACTCACACACAGCATGTTGGCCCCGGCAGAGGATTTGCATTTGTTTGTTGTGAAAATGTCCGCCCCTCCCCCCTTACGCGGAACAATTACGCAGAGTGCGTGGTCAAATGCACTGGAGCATGGATTGTGGGCGTGACTGGACAGCATTTGGTGCGGTCGCGCAATGGCTTCGCGCAAATCCTACGTTATCCAGCCGATGCGTAACAGGGCCAGCCTGACCCAGCCCATTGCGCTCCATTGTTTGCGTAATTCGATAAATTGACGGTACGTTGGCCTCCATGGGTTTTAAGCCCAGTTGCCCATTTTAATAATTTTTAATTAGCAGCCGCTGGCTGACAATTTTGTGACCGCTCTGGCAAAATTGGTTTTTAATTAAGTTCATTTTGCGTCGCCCCAAAATCCGCTAAATCTAATGAATTCAACAGTTAAACCACGAATATCTGTAAAACGAAATTTCAATGCACGCCATACAGGAATTACTTTCCGTTCTCATAACAATACAGGTAAAGTATTCAGCTCGAAACTCTTTAACATCGACATATATAAAATAGGAAAAGCGGCAAATAAAATATGTTCGTCAAAAGCTTGTAAAATTTGTTAAGTTTAGCTAAAACCCTGCATAATTGTGGATGAGTAAATAATCCAAATTTGTTGTCTCCAGTAGAAAAATAATTGGAACCGCGCAGACAGACAGAAGGACGGCAGAATGGACATTGCACAGAATGTCTCTTTTTAATAGGTTTACAGAATATTAAAACGATATATTCTTAAATTCGGCAATATTTCTTTAATATTGCCTGAACACAGACAAACTTCAAGTATTCATTCCTCTAAACTAATATGCCTCCTTTACAATAACTAAATAATATCTTTAAGTTCGCATTTAATCAGTATTGCCTGCAATACTTACGTTTACTAAAGTAATGTGATTACAAAGCAATAAATGAAAGACATTCCTAATTCGCCTCAGTAATCACGAGGCGTATACATAATAAAAACGAACTAATTTCACGTGCTCAACTAAAAAGTGTATTTCTTGTATATTTTAAGAAACAGTTCACAAAATCAATCAAAAAGTTTTGCCATTTAAATCCCGGCAGCAAGTGGCTGACTTGGTGGAGCCACTGTTGGAGTCCAATACCATTGGGCAAAGTACACACAGGCCTTAGCGTCATCCAGCCAGGCCTGGGCAACCGGACAAGTGGCCAGCGAAGCTGGCACACCCAGCGCATGGCATACCCAGTACTGGTTCTTCAAGTAGTAGTGTCGATAGGCGCCCACGGCGATTTCAGCCTCCGTCTGGCAGCCGGGCTGGCCCGTGGGCTTACCCAAGGGTATAGCGATGGAGCAGCTGACCAGAGCCAGGCACAGAGCGAACAGATACAGATAGTTCATGATTGGAAGACGTTGATCTCAAGACTGACCTATGCTAATGCCAAAGCGCTGCTTTTATAGAGCAAAAACTAAGATGTTATCTTATCCATGGAACGGAACTAATCACAAAAAAATAAGTGTGGCGCGATGCTGTAAACAGTTACGGGTTCGCCTTGTAAACAGGGCTCTACGCAGGGCCTGTTGCTATTTGGCAGACAGTTTATGGCCCTGTTTGTTTGCGCAGAGCTGGCGCGCGGTGGTCGAGCGGGTGGGGAGGGGTGGCAACTGCCGGACCACCCGCTGGAAGAGCTTGCATATTCATGACATCAGCACGCCTGCTGTAAATTATTTCGAGAGATAGCCCTGGCAAGCCACAAACAAGCGGACCAACAGCTAATTAATTCCAAACGCTGCCTTAAAGGCAATTTTTGGTCGCAGGCCAACGAAAATTTTCACCTGGGCAAATGAGTTTGGATGGGAACCCACTTTTCGACTGCCTTTTTAGGCTGCCTTAAGCCATATTAGGTCGCACACACTTGAGTAATTGCCCTCGCCAATGCACGGTGGCTGCAGTGGAGCCTCGACTCCTGGCGCTTGGGTCCGGGGAGGAGCTGGCGGCAGCATTTGAGGCCGCGCACGTTGCGCACTTGGCTTTGTTTGCTTTTGGCCATAAATTAAATCAGGTTATTAATGTCTGCCATTAAATGAAGCTACAGGCAGGAGCAGCACAACAACAACAACAACAACGACAACGACAGGGACAACTACAAGCTGGGCATTGCGACCGCTTTGTGTGTTATCCTTGCACTGCGCCTTGAGTCCAGCTTTTGTTGATTTATGCTAATTCGTGAGGCATTTCGAGCATTTTGAAGTTATTTCCAGATTTTCAAACACAAGTGCACAATTTGTATGCACTTTTGTCTTAAATTTGAAAGCATGCTGAAGATAAATGGATATTTGAAGATAATATATATTCTTCCGAGCCTTAAATCCAGCAACAAGGTCTGAAGGTCTTTAATTCTATGCTGAATCTCCTTTTCTCTTTCTCGCTCTCTTTTTCACAAATTGCAATTTCTCTCTCACTTTTTCTCTTCCTATCTTCCAATGGATATCTGCTAGTCGAGCTTCAACTCTTTTACGCATGCCATTTCTCGTTTAATTTTGCCAATTAAAATAAAAGTCAAAAATTGTTATTTGCTCTTTTGATATTGTGGCCTCTTTGAAGTGAAAACCAAATTATAATTAAATACAAATACAAATATGTTTCGCATAGGACGCATATGATGCAATTACACTTCCCAATTTTTGCGCATTTTTAATACTACTTTTTTAACATGCAATAATTTTTTAATATTTTTTCCTCGTTGTGTTTGCCACTTGCACGCACACAAAAAAATCGGCATGCGCTGCAAAAAAAAAAATAAAATAAAAATAAAAATAATAAAAAAAACCATAGAAAAAATGCGTTTGCAGCTCGTTTTATTGATGTGCTCGTTTCAGGACTGACTGACAAAGGGCTTGACTGAAAACTGGCAGAATGCAAAAAATAAAATAAAAATAAAATAATCAAAAAATGCACATTTGTTTTTCAAGCCAAAGCCGGCGCCAAGTGGAGTGGAAATGGCAATGCAACCGGACCAGTTGCCAAATGCACCAATATTGATTTATGACAAATGTTTTCGGTGCCGTTCAACATGGATTTAAATGTCACTGTCAAAAACTATCAACACTTGTGATTTTTGCGCGGGGCGTGGGACGTGGGACGTGGGGCGTGGCGGTTGGTTCGCAGGGCGGGTCAGCTTAATTGCTGTCATAAGTCAAAAGTCTGTTGACCAATGAAAATGTCTCTGTTAGTTTGCATTTGACACACACTGTGCGAAACACGCACACTGAGTCATCTGAATGAACAACACGCCCATTAACAGATAGCAGATAGCTTATCGCTCAATTGTATCTGGCACTTGACATTGCATCTTTAAACACGATCAGATAAACAATTGTTTAGCGGCAGTTGACTTCCCCGTCAAGCTAAAGTTGACTGATAAAGTTTGTCTGGCAAATAAGACGTATTATAAATCTCTTTAAGTCCAACGGATATGGCATCGGAAATGCTCAAATGTCCATCATATATCTTTTGTATTTTAACTAGAACAGCTTTATGTGGAGCGGGTACTAAAGCTCTGATAGCTATGGTGCTTAGGTCTATACCATATCCGTGTATCTAGTTAGCAGCTAGAAATTGCAACACTTGGAGAAAAGGTTAAGATTTCAACAAAATTTCTACTTTAAGAACTATATTGAACTCCCTCAAAGTTTGCTGTGCTTTGCTTAAGAACTGTTTTTTAACTGAATATATTATAAATATTCTGTTCTTCTTTTTCTCACATTCAATTTTATGAAAAATTTGATATTTATTTTATTTTGCTCATACTGGTAATCGAAAAGGCATTCTGTTTTCATCAATAAGCATTTGGAATCTTAAAATGAACGCATTCAGTGCTGTTAACAAGATTGCCAACCTGTTGGACGACTTGGTGGCTCTATACAGGGTTTCCACACCCAATCTATCCATGATATGCATGCGTTTCTATCCTGACTGAAGCCCGTATTTGGCTGGCACTTGAAAAGCTCGGCCTCGCCATTGAGAGCCGAGCACATCCAATATTTGGTGGGATCAATGCAATTACGTTGTGGACGACCCACCTCCACGGGCAACTTGCAGCCAGGCTTATATGTGTCTATGCATTGGCCAAGCGCATTTGAGGCCAGGCAAAGGCACACGGCCAAGACCAGTAGCAGAGCTAAAAAGGACAATAAGTTGCACTTAAGTTACTTTATTTGAGGCCAACGCAATGGTCTTACCTGCAAATCGCATTATGGATAATGGCACAAGCCGCTGGCAACTGGATCTGGTCGAGTTGCGATGCAGCAGTTTTTATAGACAGCTCAAGTGCTGGGTGAATAGTTCAGTTCATTGTACTATGTAAAAGCACTTGTTTCTATATTGTGTACATACTGGCACTGTACATATCGCTCAAGTGCCAGCCAAGGTCACGATTTCTTCGAGTGTTCTCTCTGATTGTTTTCCAACAATAAATGACTTGGTGATCCCCCTGTTCAAGCTGTTGTCCAGCATATAACATGCCACTCACGCATTCGGCAATGGCTTGAATGGGGAAAAAAATCGACAAAAGAAAACAAAAGAAATCCCTTCTCAATGTTAGCCACAAGGAATGCAAGCTTTGGGAATAACAACTGCATTTGGAGCGACAGTTCCACAGAAAAAAGTTGCCCTTTTCCAATTTTCTTGGACATGACAAATTCATTTCAGCGACCCCATACAAGTCAATTGTGCTGCAGTTCAATTGCATTGAAATGATTTCGAAGCTTATTAAATGGCTGAAATTTTCATTAAATAGTTTTTAAATTTCATCATTCATCAGAAAAGTTTGGCATGCTTAAACATTCAGCTTTTGGCTATACAAAAAATGGGCATATAATTAGCTACAAGACCTGCGACTCACATTGCGTCTGACTGTTTCTCACGTATTCAATCGCTGTGATTGTTTTGCCACTACAAATTACTTTACGGCTTTGTCTAGAAAATTGCATGCCACTCATACGTCTTGCAATTGCCAAGCTTAAACTGAATTTGTACGTACAAGAGCTGGCAGCGTAAAACTTTGCCACATTTCCCACACACTGGCTGAGTGCAGCTAACGGTCAGAAGACGTATGTCCGAAAACGTGGAAAATTTCATTTGGAGCAAGCGTAGCACAGAAACAGGCGAACAAAGCATTGCCTTTGGCCAATTTTCCAAGACATGTGAAATGCATTTCCGTTTAGCCACAAAAGGCAGTCATATATGGATGAAGGTTAAAATGAAAGAATGCAAGTCACTGGTAATAGCAGTTCTTCATTAAACTAGACATATAAAAAGGATTGCTTTTTGCTATACATGCTTACCTACTGAAAACAAGCGTAACCAACTTGAAATAATATTTGTTCTATTTTGCCCGCGCGCATGTAATTCAAATTATATAAGTGCTGCCAGACTACATGCACTGACCAATAAATATCTACACAAAGCAAACAACGTTGCCACACGCCACAGTTAACAGGGATGCAACGCACTGCTGATGCCGAGCTGTTAACATCTGTGCGCACATTGCGAGTCACTTGAAGTTAGCTGCGCTCGAAAAAAGCACTACTATCGCCTATCGATAACTAAATAGTGGCAGCGAGAGAAAAATAAAAATTCCGCAACAACAACACACAAATTGAAGTGTAGTGAAGAATTAAATCTAATTATAACAAGCGACGCGCAAGCATTAAGAGCACGCACACACCGATTCATACAAGCAAAGCTAGTTAATTAGTGGCACAAAACGACGAATTTTGAAAACAACACAAAAGCAAACGGGCAGGGCAGTGCGGCAGCGGCAGCAGCAGCGGCAGTGGCAGTGGCAGCGGCAGGTAGTAGCCCAAACAGTTGTATGTGATTGGGGCGCGCGCGCGGCATGGGTTGAGGTGTGTGTATGAGTGTGTGTGTGTGTGTGTGCGAGTGTGTGCTGTGTGTCAGTGTTTTGCGGGTGTGATGCAAAGAGCAGCAACAGCAGCAGCGGCAGCAACAACAATAAGCGGCGCGTGTAACTGAACCGAACGCCTACGTAATGGCCAACCAACTGGATGCCAATGTCAAGGACGATCTGAAAACGCAATTTGTAACCCGCGAGGGCACCTATCGCCTGCTAACCTTATCCGAATACTCGCGTCCCAATCGCGTCGGCTACAGCAACAATCAAAGCTCGCCCCAGGTGCGCGTCTCATTTGTGACGCTACCGAATCCCAGCAGTAAAAACAACAGCGAAGCGAATATAACGGCAACGACAGCATCAACAGCAACTACAACAGCAACAACAACAACAACAACAACGAGTGATAAGCGCACGCAATTGCATTCAAATGGCGCAACAACAACAACACCTGCTACACCAACAACCACAGCAACAACATCCGGGAATACATTAAACGGCAGCGGCGCCGGCGGCGACAGCAACTACAACGGCAGCAGCACAGTGGACGCCCGCCTGGGCGGGGGCATCTCCATGCACTCGATGACCAATGGCGGCGTACTGGACCAAAATGGTATGCCAACAAATCAAATCTATGGCGGAGATCGAATCTGCTTCAATTTCGGACGCGACCTCTATGTCTATGCGTTTCGTGGCGTTAAAAAGGTGAGAAAACATGGCTTTTGTCTAATTTGCATATATTACGTACACACAAACACACACACTTTCTCACTCTTTCTCTCCTCTTCGTAACAAGGTGACGTGGCGAGACTCCAATAGATCTTTCAAGCAGCCTGTTATCAGGCCGCACGCTGATAAGCTGGCAGCGAATACCCACGCCTTGACTGCCTTGTAGTCTTGGTCATGTAATAGTACCTCCTCGCATCTCTGCACCCCCGCACCAATTGACAGTGACCACTTAGTTAGCAACTGCGTACAGCCCCGGGCTGACCCCCCACACGTTTTGGCACAACGTATCCAGTTTCTCCATAGCACACAAAACGCTGCCTCAAACACAATCGCTTAATTTGTTCCAATTCTCGCAGTGGTTGTTATTTAGTTGTTGCATTGTATTTTGTTGTATTTGTTGTTGTTCTTGTTGTTGTTGTTGTTGATCAATTCGCTTGCTAAGCTTTTATTTAAATGTGTTTATTACGCTTGAAGGCAGCTTTTTGCACTGGAATTGATCCAACTTGTCAGTTTTGTGCGTGGTCTCTTCGAATACCCTTACGCGATTGCGGCATTTGTGCTGTGTGTCTCAAAACAAACCGTCCAATTGTTATTGTATATACCCTTAGACGAATGGGAACATGTGTTTTATGCTATCAATTGAATTTGTCCGTTATTATCATTGTTATCTTTAGGTTTACCCTTGCCTGTTTAAGGCATCTTCGTTTTGTGTCTTGACATGAATTGTTCATTTTATTCATCTACGCCTTCTTTTGGTAATACTCTTACCTGAGCTCTCTAGTTCTAAAAATTGGCATTCTTAAGGTGTTTTCAATCAATCAAAATTTGTTTATAAAAAACGAAATGAACTTCGTTGTGAATGGAAATGATAGGTCCATCTAAGTAAACAAATCTAAATGAATACGGCAGCTAATGAGGATAATTTTCTTCAAAGATAATAACATCAGAAGTTTGACAATATTTAAAGGGTATGCACACTTCGAGTCAGATAAATGCATTCTTTTTCTTATTTGCCAAGCAGCTGTTTTGTGTTCTTGGCATTTTAAACTACAACAGCTTGCATTTGTCTGAGTTAGCAAGCAATTTGCAACAACTTGTTTAGGTCTTCACTTGGTTAGGTGAATGTTTTGTGACGCAGGGCTTGCTATTAAAATCTTTTGCATCAGGTGCCCAGCGAAAATTCCGAACAAGCCGCTAATTTCCACAAAGCTATCTGAAACGTTGCTAATTTGTATACCCAATGATCGAGTGAATAGCTTAAAGATTTTGTACAAAAAATGCCATTTCTAATGCTTTTAAAAGCATATTAATCTCTAAGCGGAGGCATACTGATAGCATTCGTGGGGTTTCCTTTAATATATTGTGGAATGAAACAGATATAAGCGCAATTTTATAGTACTGAGAGATTTCTCATAATAAAATCTCAATTTCTCATTTCAATAAACCCAAATACTATCGTTTGAAGCAATTAAATTGCACCTAAGAAACTTTAAATGGTGTTGCATAAGAATAAAATTTGGGAAATTGGTTAAATATAATATGTTAAGTGGGTTCTTATAATAGAATCCTAATTTTCCCACTTCATTTGCGATACATTTGAACCTTCTCTCAATGCTAATGTATATTTTTATATAGGGAAAACTCTGAGTGGTCGGAAAAATATAAATAATTGCGATAATTACATTCCGAATTTCACTTAAAGAAAGTCTTAAGAGGGCGTTTATTTTTAATCTAACTGATTGTACATATTTTTTGTTGACTCTCACATCAGCTGAGCCTTAAGGCTACACCGCAAATGCACACCCACATATTGTTGGAATACAATTATGACTAACTTTGTTTGCTGATTTCTGATTGCTTTTGCAGGGCACCGAGATGAGCAAACCCATCGATAAGAAGTTCTACAAGGGCACAAATCCCAGCTGTCATGATTTTAATGCCAATGCAGCAACGCCGACTGGGGCACCGCTGCTGGTTGGTTTCACAACGGGACAAATACAGCTGGTATCGCCGCAACAAGGGCTACGCGAGCTGCGCAAACTATTCAATGAGGAGGTGAGCAACAAGTCTTGACAATAAGCTTATATGCCCACATGCTTAGTGTAACCCTGCCACTTCGCTTGCAGCGCCTGATTGACAAGACCAAAGTGACCTGCCTGAAGTGGCTGCCAAATTCGCCGCATCTGTTTCTCGCCTCGCACGCTTCGGGCCATTTGTATCTGTATAACGAGGAGCTGCCCTGTGCGGCCACAGCGCCCAGCTATCAACCATTTAAGGTGGGCGACGGCTACACGATACTCACCTGCAAATCAAAGTCGACGCGCAATCCGCTTTACAAGTGGGTATTTAGCACCGACAACTGCTGCATCAATGAGCTGTGCTTCTCGCCCTGCGGCTCTAATTTGGCGCTGGTCTCACAAGATGGCTTCCTTCGTGTCTTTCACTATGATACAATGGAGCTGCTGGGCATTGCGCGTTCCTATTTTGGTGGCTTCCTCTGTGTCTGCTGGTCGCCCGATGGCAAATACATTGTTGTTGGCGGCGAGGATGATCTGGTTACGGTGTGGTCTTTGCACGAGCGACGCGTTGTTGCCCGCGGCCAGGGCCATCGTTCCTGGGTCTCTGTGGTGGCCTTTGATCCGTATACCACCTCCTACACGAACTGGGATGGCGGTGATTTCAGTGACGATGAAAATCAGCTGAATGAATACACTGCATCCAGGGAGGACCGCTTCTCAGGCGACTCCACAGCCAATGGTGGCTTTGAGGGCTTCGATAAAAACTCAACGCCGCTGCACACGAACCGAGCGCATCCTCACTCAGCTTCGTTTCGTTCGGACGGCTCATCGGCGGCGCTGACACCGGACAAACTGGCCATTAGCTATCGCCTCGGTTCAGTTAGTCAGGATACGCAAATCTGCCTGTGGGACATCACGGAGGATGTGCTGCGGCATCCTTTGACGTTGCGGCAGCGCGTTAACAGCACGCAGCTTAACGATAGCAGTTTCATGAATGGTTGCCTCGATGCGGATGGCATCAAAGTGATACGACCGGTTGCCATGGGTCAGGCAAGCAACTTTGCCGACTCCGGCAGCTGTAGCCCCATCAGGGAAACAGCGGGTGGCAGCGCCGCCGGTGCGACAGAGCACAGTAATAGCAGTTCCAGCAAATTCTCCACGGCCAACTGCACGATATCTTCGCAATCATCTAATGCCAACACGCCGCCGGATGAATGCTGTGACACAGAGCCGGCAGCAGCTGGAGCAGCAGCAGCAATTGCTGCCGCGAATGCCACGTCGACATCCACATCCAAAGCGAACAGCAGGTCACACGGCAACAGCAACTCGATCAAGTTCCCCAATTGCATCAGTGCGACCAAGTCGGACAGCATCGATAGCGGTGGGCCGCGCGTTAGCAACTCCAATTACTCCACATCTGGCTATAATAGTAAAAATTCCAATAGCTCGACCAAAACCAACTCCAATGCGGGCGGCAGCAGCAGCAGCAGCTTTAGCGCCTTCAATAGTCTCACCCAGCGTTTATCCAATTTTAGTTTTCTGAGCAACTCGGACAAACGATCGGCTACCATTGGTTTCGAGGGCAGCGGCTCGACGGCCACGAATCATCGCCAGCACCGAAAGGCGATGAGCATGCTGAAGAGCTATAATCAACATAATCACAGTAATCACAACAACAACAGGAGCAGCAACAGCAGCTCCACAAATTTCGCTCACTCCACGGCGCTGGAGTCGGGCGCGGGCACAGTCATTGGCAGCAGTGCGACAGCGCATAGCTTTGGCTCACTGAAGCTGAGCAAATCCTCGCACAACTCCTCGCTGACAACGGCTGGACAGTCGTCGGCCAGTGTGAGTAGTTATGATCCCATGAAGCTTATTGGCACGCCCGCGTGTCCACGGTTCGAGGAGTGCCCGCTGCTGGAGCCACTCGTCTGCAAGAAGATTGCGCACGAGCGCCTCACGGCGCTTATATTTCGCGAGGATTGCTTTTTGACGGCATGCCAGGATGGTTTTATCTACACATGGGCGCGACCGGGTCAGACAACGGTAAGTGGAAACGCTTGACTCGGCCTGTGACAAGCTGTTCTAATCGTTTTCTTTCTTTGGCCCACAGCACGTTGCTCAGCACTTGTCGCCCAGTCAAGCAGCGCCTCCGGGCGGCACGGTAATATAGTTCGTTAAAATGTATGCGATTAACTATCAGCGTAATCTTGTCAAGCAGCAGGAGGCGGCGCAGTCGGTGATTTAGGTTAGAGCTAGCGATTGATTTCAAATTATTTCCTGTTAGGCAGAGTCTTAAATTGTTTTTATTTTTCAATATTTTTTTTTAAACTATGTTGCGTCTTTTTTAATTCCGATTTTGATTGAACACACATAAAATATTCAGAAGAAAAATCAAGAATATATACGAGATATAGTTATGTAAAACATAACTACGATTTATATGCAACAGCAGCAGGCTACAGAACAAAAACAAAACAAACAAACATTTATATAAATACGATATACATACATATATATGAATATATATATATATATAAATTTATCTATATATATTTAAATTTGGATTATGATTAGTTGTAAATGTATTATTTTTAATACATGGAATTTGTTAAAAACAAAGCAAAGCATGTTTATAACTATTTACTAAGCGCTAGCATAATACACAATACACGTTAATAAAACAAACACACAAACGACTACACACACATTGCATTAGTCAACTTTAAAGAGGATTATCGAAAGAAAAAAAAAAAACAAAAAGAAAGAAATAACACCCGAAAACGGAAGCTAAGCTAGCGAATTTGTATGCAGAACTTTTTCACATTTGTGCTATGGTACTGAGTTGCGATTGAGGCCCCAACTAACGAACTACTTATACTATACATATACAACAAGAAGAATAAATACTAATTAGTATGCATTATTACTAAATAAAAGCAAAGCAAGAACGAAAAACACGAAAACTAATACCTAATGTAGGAACTGTTATCGTTATTATAATTATAATAATTATTTTTCACGCTATTCGAGTGCAAAAGTCAGCCACACATAATATTTATAAAGTCAAATAAAACAAAAAACATTCAAGAAAAATAACACACACACACCCAACAAATTAGACTAAATGCAAAACAAAAACCAGATAACAACGTAAAAATAAGAAGAAACATATTTCATACTGGCCTATATTTTATAAAAGCGAATCGTTACGCGTGTGAAACTAGTGAGAAATTTCTAAGAACAGATCCAGAGAACATAAAAACAAAACGTAGCCAATAAGTGAAGCAGTTAATGAAGAAGAACGAGGACATGTTAAACAAAAAAGTAATAAAAAACAAACAACCAACCAACAACACGTTACAGTAATAAAGACTACAAATTTCAATAAAAACTATATACTATATAAAAAAAAAAATAAAAAAAAAAAAAAACAATACAAAAGCAATTAAAACAATCAAAAAGCTTTTCAATCAAGAGAACCATAATTAATCCTTCGTAGACAAATAATTGATAAGCCGAGTTTAATTTCTCAAATTGTGTAAGTATGAGAACTAGAGAACTAGCACTTACCCATTGTAACTTTCTCCTCTTGCCAAGTCTGCTCTGCAACTTCTTCCAAATGAATTTCGATGCACGGCCTTGTTTCAGACGGTTAAACCGATTATCCATTTCCAAATTTGGTTTTAAACTTTGTTCGTGTCATTTCAACCAATTAAAACAAAACATTTTGAATTATATCAAATATTCACTTCCATGTATCGAATTCTTGTTAATGTCTGGATGGATTATACAAATATATTATATTTTTTTCGGTTGTCCCACACACTTTTTATTTCGAATAACCATTACGATTTAAGGTTGAGCTTTTCGTAAGGTCACATATTTGATTAATGGTTCAGTTTTTAATTAGTTTAAATAATTCCAGGTTGCATCCAGCCTTAATGCAAAAGCAGAAGAAGCTTCTTAGTTTCAAGAGATAAATAATTGCTTGTGAACTAATTCTATGAAATAATTGTTGTTTTTTCAAGCGTTGTTTATTTATAAAATGTATTCATTTTGTTGTTAACAAAAATATGTTTATTCATCACCTACTGCAAATCTCAATTGGATATTTCGCGAACTTTAAGTCTCTCCAACCACATAAACTACTAAGACGATTTAACATTTTGGAAATGATTTTGCATTGGTATTTTAAAAAAATTTAACACATCGATTTTGAGGGTTAGTGTACTTTGCACACACACACACACACACACACACAGAGATACACTCACACTTACACACATCCATGCAGCGGTGTGTGTCTTTCTTTCATTGCCCCAGTTAGTTAAATGAGTTTCAAAAATTATACTATGGATTTTTATAGCGCCTTTAGCGTGGCCAACGGATCCACACCGGGCAAATACAAATGCTTAGAGAGCAGAAACGCGAACAACATCTGGCCGGCAACCACAATGAACAGGAAGTAGAGCTTCCGCTTGCGACCGCCGCTATAATCAAACTGCTGTGGATTGCCATAGGGATCATAGTTAATGGCACCGCTGGGCGCAGGCGGTGTATTATCCTGCAACAATTTCGTTCGCAGCGTGCGCAACTGTAAAAGAGTTGAAATTAATAATTGATGATTTCAATACATAGCCAATGATGCTCACCAGAAAGAAGCCAAAGGAGAAGCTGGTATACGCCAGTGCTATATAGTAGCCAGAGCGAAAGAACATCGCGCTCATCAGCAGGCAGACGACGATATTCACATATTTATAGCCCGTAAATGCCAGCAAGTCCAAAGTCTTAAGACTCGTCTTAACATTCATTACATACAGAGAAATGGAGTAGATGACCAGCTCGAAAATGCTATATGCCAGCGCACTGGATGCCTGTATGCCCAGCTGTTCGGGCGAAAAGCGGTTCTGCATGCCCAACAGCAGGCCGGCAACAATCACATACGTTATATAGCCCATAGTTGGCAGATAGAGATCTGGTGCATTTATATCATAGCGCGGCTGCACGGGATGCTCCTGATCGTATTTCAGGGACCAGTCCTGTAAAGGCACAATATAAAAGTTTAACACCGACCCAGCACTGTCATAAATATTAAGCTAATTAGTTGCACGCACAATTCAAAATAAAGATTCTTTGAAACTGTGCAAAATTCGTGCTTTTAAATTCGGGTTCGTGCGTGTTGGACACGCAACCGTATCTATTTGCACGGCGCTGTTAATAGCTCTTTAGTGACTGTAAAAGCGTTAACAGACTCCAATCAGCGTCACATTTTGCACCAATTGGCCCAATTCAAATGGGTAACTTACCTTGTGTATATAAGGAAAGAAGAGCAAACGTAGCTTGCGTCCGACGTAGGCATTATCTACGGCAAAATAGTACTTAAGCTTGGCCACAGGCACCCACTTCTCGAACTGATTCTCTACAAGCTGCTTGCCTTGGTCGGCCAGACGCTGGCCATACTGCATGGCCATGTCCTGCACAATGGGCTGTTGGAACATGGCAAGCTGTGGATACTGGCCGACTGGCGCCGCGCCGGGAGCAACACCATATGGCGGCGGCTGTGGCGCGCCCAGGCCATATGAGACCGGTCCAGCTGGTGCATTAGCCTGCGATTGCATTTGCTGTTGTTGTTGTGGTGGGTAGCCATAGTTCTGCTGTTGCTGTGGCTGAACTGGTGCCGCTGGTGCTGGTGCTGCATTGTAGCCATAACTGTTGACCTGCTGTGGGGCCGGTCCGCCGTACATATTGGGATCGAACATGGTGGGTGCAGCCGTTGGTGTCATAAAAGCAGAGCCACTTGGCATCGGTGCCGTTGGACCCATAGCATTCAAATCGCTCACCCGTTTAATGGGGCGTGCACGTCCGCCGCCTTGTGCTATTTTTGGTTGAGCAGAAAGAGAAAATTGCAACTATTTATTGGCCATTCCAATGGGATTGGTGGGATGGGTGAAGTGTTAGGGGGAAAAAGGTAAAATCAAGCTACACACGCAGTAAACAAACTATAAACGCAACAGTATTAGTAATGCAGGCTGTGGTAATCAATTCAAGGAATTCAACAATTGAATACGAGAGGCAACTAAAACAACCGCCAGCTGCGGCATTCTGCGAGGGCAGCAGCAGAGGCGGCATTGGCAGCAGCTGCCTTCGTGGTATACTTGCGTAGCCATAGCTTGTTCCTTACAATTTTCCCACTTACGATTCCGTATACCCGCATTTGGATTATAGTTCATCTCGTTGATGTTGGGCCCTGTCACTTGCTGTGTTGTTTGTTGAGTAAATAGCTCTGTTTTTATTTGAAATATCAGCAAAACTTTGGTTTATTACACATCACCACTCGGCTGAAATTCATTAAGTACACGACGGATTTGTTGTTGAAACATCGATAAGTATCGAGGTAAAAATATCGAGTGTAAAATAAATCTAGCTGTATGATGGTCCTTTAATTCTTATTGGTTGGTTCAGTTATAAAATTACTCTATTCATTTCATTTAGTTTGTGTTTATAATTTAAACACAACAATTTAATAAAATGATAATAAATGCATTAGAATTTATGAGCAACATTTCCGTTGTATTACACTGAATACATCTTTTCGTATGAGTATTTGACAAAAAGAAAGTATCATGCTAACATAAGCGCAAATTAAAAATAATGCGATGTGTTGACAACTCTTACACAGGAGTTGCATGCGATTGTTATCGCTTATCGCGTAGCTAATCGTGGCTTTGTCGCAGTTGTGTCTAGTTTTTGTTTTTATTTAATACAGCCTTAATAAACAAGTGTTTTGTGAGTAATTTATGCACATTGGTTAGTGCAACTTAAAATTCGGGAGAAACAATGTGTTTAAATTGATAATAAACATGGTCAAGTCCCTTTATTAGCACCAAAATTCGTGGCTCTAAATTTAAGGTGTGGTTGGGCTTTGGTTGTTTGACTAAGCGCAGCTTTACTCAAGTTGGGCGGCGGCCCTGCCAACTTTCTTAGGCTGTAAATCAAGAAAAAGTGACTAAATATATAATTAAAACAGTTAATGTACAATTCAATTATATTTATGTTAGAAATGTTTGTTAGTTTAATTAATTGTTTTGTAATTATGCACACACAAACTCCAGACCACGCCTAAAGCAGCAGCACACACACACAAACGTACATTAATTTCCCCATGTTCATATACAGTGGAGCTTGACTTACGTACATCTCTCTCGACCGAACATCTTAGCCCGTCATTATTTTTAATCCCAATATATTTGGCAAATTTTTGCAACATAAGTTCTTGTGTTCTCAGTGTAACTGTCGCTTATTGCGAGCTTGCACTGTACACGTGTGTGTGTATGTGTGCGCTTACTAATACAACCGTTAGAGGTCTGACTAATACAACTGATCTCTTGATTTGTTTATATGGACTGTTCATAAATCGATTATTGCAAATAAACATTGTCTATTGTTATTTATTTATAGACTACGAATTTCCAATACGAAAATGTGCCTTTAGTCTTCGACGCAACGCCAGCTGGAAGAGTTCTCATAACGAGCTCCTACTAAAACTAAACCAAGTCACCATGTCAACATGCAGCAGGCTACTAGTCTGCTGGCTAGTGCAATTATTGCTGCTGGCAACGGGCAGGGCCCAACTGCCCAGCGACTTGCAACAACAGCAGCAACAACAGCCGGGCCAGCCACAGTCGCCGACGCAACTGCAACAGCCCCAGCCATATCAGCCCAGTTATAACAAGGATTATTCGCCTCGCTATAATCCATTGTACACGGGTCAACCACAAAATCCCGACAGCACACAATACGATAATCCGTTGCTGGACTTCAACAATCAGCCAAGTAACCCAAATTATGGTGGCGCCGGGCTTAATCCAAACAACTATAATGGCTACAACAATTACGACGGTAATCGTCCATTGTTGGGGACTGGCAGCAATATTGGCGGACCAGGCAGCATTGGCAACGCGGGGCCCCAATACGATCCCTTTAATCGCAACACTGTGACCGGCAACTCAGCTATCGGCTATAGGGACATGTTCACCGATGAGGATAACTTTTGTCCCGAGCATTGGGTATCATTCCGACAGACATGCTATCGCTTTATACGGTCCCCCAAGCGCAACTGGGCTGAGGCGAAGAAAATATGCAAGGCCTACACAGCGGATTTGCTGAATGTGGACAATGTGGAGAAGCATTCGTTTATTTTAAAGCAGTTGATCCTGCAGAATCAGCGACAAAATCGTTTCTTTATCTCGGCACGCCAAACGGGTCCACAAAACTGGGTGAATGATGACAATACGCAACTGGTGCAAATTGAAGACTCTTTTGCCTTCGATGAGCAGCAGGCGCTCGAAAACGAGGATCTAATTGACAATCGTTTTCTTGTGCAAAACGATCCGAACAATCGCAATTTTAATAATAATCCCAATCAGTACTATAATTCGCTGGCGGGCACAACGAATCTGAATCAGCGGAATCAAAACAATCTGCGTGGCTACTTTGGTATGAAGAAAAATCAGGAAATGCAAATACACATATTAATATCGTTTATCCATTACAGGTCCAAATCAGCCCTATGGAGATAATGGCTATTTGCGGGATCGTGTGGTTTATGCTTATTCGAAAAAACGCGATCGCTGGATGTTTATGCCTGCGTACGAAATTGAAATGAATCTCTTTATATGCGAGTCCAAGGCGCTTTACAGTCCTGACAATGTCAATATAAAACTGGATGATAAACGCCCCTATACCTATGGCCTGGACATTCGAGATTTGGAGCGCATACCACGTGGCCCGTTCTTTGTAAAGCAACCAAATGACACAACCTTTGATGTGAACAAGAATCGGTTGATCAACGATGTTTCACTGGGCTGCCTTGCTGGAGGCTATCCGACGCCCACATACGAGTGGTTTCGCGAAGTCTATGTGAACGATACGTTGGAATACCATCGGATTGATCCCTTGGTGGACAATCGCTATACCATATCGGGCGGCAATTTGATTATTTATGAGCCCAAGCAGGCTCTGGATCAGGGCGCGTATCATTGCATTGCACAAAACAAATTTGGTCGCATCCGTTCGGAGAGTGCGCATCTTAACTTTGGTTTCATTATGGAATTCAATTTGAAGCGTTCGGCAGAATCAAGTGAAATGAACTGGGGCAAGTCTATATTCTGCGATCCGCCGCAACATTACCCGGCTATTAAATACTATTGGTCGCGTGATTATTTCCCCAATTTCGTGGAGGAGGATCAGCGTGTTTTTGTCTCTTACGATGGTGCCCTCTACTTCTCGTTTATTGAGATCGTAGATCGTGCAAATTATTCGTGCACTGTACAAACGCTTGTCTCAGATACGGGTCGCAATGGACCCTTCTTTCCGCTGCGCGTTACGCCCAATAGCAATTATCAGGCGTTGATCTTTGCCAATACTTTTCCCAAAGTCTTTCCGGAAGCTCCAGTTGCCGGCGAAGAGATTCGTTTGGAATGCATGGCTTTTGGCTATCCTATACCTGCGTACAACTGGACGCGCAATGGCCAGCCGCTGCAGCGCAATGCCTACACGACCAGCTATGGACGCGTTCTGATCATTCGGAATGCCACGACCAATGATAATGGCCAGTACACGTGCAGTATTACCAATCCCCGTAAGACTCTGGAAAAGTCCATTTATATCAACATACAAATGCGACCTGAATTCACCATACCGCTTAAGGACATGATCAAGGACTACAACAGTGATGTGACCTTCATTTGTGAAGCCTTTGCCATACCCGATGCCAACTACACTTGGTACAAGAACGGCGAGCGTCTTGATCCTTTAAGCATCAATCGGGACCGCTATGTTATACAGGACAATTTGCTTACCATTAAATTCCTTGAGAAGGACAAAGATGAGGGCATGTACCAGTGTGGTGCACAGAATCAGCTGAAGACATCCTACAGCTCGGCTCAGTTGCGTGTGCTATCCATGAAGCCATCGTTTAAGAAGCGTCCGCTCGAATCGGAGATCTATGCTGTTTACAATGGCAATACGACTATTGTTTGTGATCCAGAGGCTGCACCACGTCCCAAATTTCAATGGAAAAAAGATGGTCAATTGCTGGGCTCCGGTGGACATCGTCGCATTTTGCCCAGCGGCACTCTCATCATATCACCTACATCCCGTGATGATGAGGGCATGTATACGTGCGTAGCCTCCAATCAAGCGGGATCGGATGAATCGCATGCTCGAGTAATTGTCCTACGTAAGCTATAATTGTGAATACTAGAGGCACTGCAGTATCTGAACATGCATTCATATATTTTTGCAGAGGAAATTCGCTTTGTACAGAGGCCACCGCAGCGCATTGTTTCCCGCGAGCATGACCTTATTTATCTACACTGTGAGGCTGCTTACGATGAGCTGCTGGACATTGCCTATGTTTGGAAGCATAATGGAGAAGTACTACGCAATAATCACGACGGCACCGAGCGCATTGTATGTCCCACCTTACTCCAAATCTAAAAATTATAAGTTCTATATCTTTATAAATTCTTTTGCAGATTGTCGATTGGAACAGCTTGACGGTGCACAACACAACGATGCGCGATTCTGGCGATTATGAGTGTGTCGTCAAATCAGCTGTCAATGAAATTAGTACCACGACAAATGTTATCATTGAGGGCGCTCCTGGTGCTCCAGGCGGGGTGCAGGTGATTGAGATTGGCAAGACCAAGGCCATCATTGAATGGGTGGATGGCGTAAACAATGGTCGTCCTATACGCTACTACCATATACTTGGCCGCACCAACTGGAATCGTACTTGGACCAACGTTTCCATGTTTCAACATGCGCGTGAGGTAGATCGTTATACATCACGCCAGCAGACTGAGGTCGGAGATTTAACGCCATGGTCCTCCTACGAGTTCAGCGTCACGGCTGTCAATGATCTGGGCATTGGCGCACCTTCGGCACCATCGCCCATCTACAGCACCTACGACGATAAACCGTATATTGCCCCACGGAATGTGGGCGGTGGTGGCGGCAAGATTGGCGATCTGACCATTACCTGGGATCCGTTGTTGCCACAGGAGCAACATAGTCATGGCATACATTACAAGGTATTTTGGAAGCTAAAGGGTGCCCTTGATTGGGCCTCGGATATAATAAAGAAACAAGAAAATGTAGGCGTGGCCGTGGTAAACATTCCGCTCAACAACTATTATACCGAGTACGAGGTGAGAGTGCAAGCAATCAACAGCGTTGGCCCGGGACCCATTAGCGATACGGTTGTCATACACTCTGCCGAAGATATGCCACAAGTGGCGCCACAGAAACCGTTTGCGCTGGCCTATAATTCTACCTGTTTCAATGTATCCTGGAGTCCCATTGACATGTCTCGTGAGAATATACGCGGCAAGCTAATAGGTCATAGGGTAAGTGAAAGCTTATTAAGTATGTTGCTATAGCTTGTTTACTATATACGTTTATTACTCCAGTTAAAATATTGGAAGACTACGCATCAGGAAGAGGATGCCGTCTACTATTTATCGCGTACCACACGCCCCTGGGCGCTTATTGTGGGTCTGCAGCCGGATACGTATTACTTTGTGAAAGTCATGGCATACAATGCGGCCGGCGAGGGTCCCGAAAGCGAACGTTTCGAAGGTGACGTCAATTAGGCAAAAGTGTTCAAATAACAAATATTTAACGTATTTATTTTATTTACAACAGAACGCACATATCGCAAGGCACCACAGAAACCACCGTCTTCAGTGCATGTCTATGGCATAAATCCGTCCACGGTGCGCGTTGTGTGGCGTTACGTATCACCAGCTCAAGATGAGGAACCCATTGAGGGCTATAAGGTATAAAAGCCTGTGAATATGCTTTAGGCAACCATATATAAAATGTAATTCCCTTTTTGGCAGGTACGCATTTGGGAGACAGATCAAAATATGATCACTGCCAACAATACAATTGTGCCTATTGGACAGAAACTCGAGGTCTTCATCAACACACTGACGCCCGGTAAGAGCTACAATATGCGTGTGCTAGCCTACAGCAATGGAGGCGATGGACGCATGTCCAGTCCCACTCTGCGTTTCCAAATGGGCAAGACAACACGCAATGCAGCGAATACACGACACGGCCACAACATCAATACCGCGCTGATCATGAGCGTGTTATTGTTTATCACAACCTTTTTTTATACCAACGCCAATAATTAGTAATAAGATAATATGAAATCAAACCGTCCGAGTTTTTTGGCAAAGCGTACAGCTTTACAAAATACATACAAACTCAAGAGTCTCGTTTAGATATAAATCAGCAAACATTCCGTCTACTAGCGAAACCTCAGCGAATTGAACATATGCGAAACAAATAAGAAAGTGACCTTAAATATATAAAAAATAAGTAGAGCATATGAATTGAAAGCAATGTAAGCACACAAATCTATTATAGTTATAACATATATATATGTATGTTTCATTTTGAAATTACCAACGAAAGTTTTATAATTAGCATAAGCACAAAGCTGTCTATCCATTTTACGACCTTATCTGTGTTCGTTCGTCCTTGTTTATGATTTTTTAAGCATACACTTATACAATGTATTGATTGAATGTAATTGTGTCCATTATACAAATATTTGAACAGCTATTTTATAATAAAATTAAAATCAATTCTAAAATAATAGTACTGAAGACAGCAATTTGAAATGTTGGAGCGCTCAGTTCAGTTCGATTGCTGAGCAGTCGATGTTATCGATTGCTTATCGATAAAGCAACTCTGAAATTTTAAACAGCTGATCGCTTCGGCAATTCCATATGTATTTTTATACATATATGTGTGTGCGGAGAAACCAATGATGATGGCTCATAGGAAAATTCAGTGAAAACGCAAGAGCAACGAAACGCAAGTAAATAAATAAAATGCTTTTATAACGGCACATGTGACAATCAGAAAACAGCTCCCTCCAATCAAAAGACGCTCGCTCGTAGTTAAGCTAAAGGATTCAGCAACCGAAACAAAATGGAAATGGCAAAAGCAAACGGTTGGGCGGTTGTTTGTACCAGCACCAACACAAGCACTGTTCCCATATATTCAAAATATACGCGCTGCACGGAACTGCGGCGTGTCGATGACAACGACATATACAAGTTGGCCACAATTCTCGATGTGAACGGCTGCTGGCGCAAGCTAATGTCCATCATACCGAAGCGCCTGGATGCGCAGGCCTGCAGCGCACCGGGTGCGCTCAACTATCAGGAAATCGCTGCCAAGGTGGGACTTAAATATACCGCCCAACAAATAAGCCTGATTGATGGCACCGCAGAACGCTTAACGCCCGGGCAAAGCATATCGCAGGTAATGATTGACGAGTGGAAAACCTCAGGCAAGCTAAACGAACGCCCCACAGTTGGTGTGTTGCTGCAATTGCTTGTGCATGCCGAGATCTACAGCGCTGCCGATTTTGTGGCATTGCATTTCCTGAATGGTAAGTAACATCAGCAATATTTTAATTTACCCATATCTAACAGGTTTCACTTTGTTTTAGAGCCGAAACCAGAACGTCCCACTGATGGACCTGCAGCGCACATCAGCTTGGATTTGTGCAGTGAAGATCTCAGCGAGGACATGGACGTGGAGGACGGTGCTAGCTACCAGCCCAATACATCCGCATTGAATGCAGCCGTTGAACAAGCCCGTGGTACTGGCATGAATCTGGATTACTTCGATAAGCATATGGTTAGACGCGACAAGAGCGTACCGCAGCAGCTTGAGAATGGCACATCCAGCACAGTGCCCGTGCCTCCACCACGAGCCGCACGATCCTCGCGTCTGCTGAAAGCCACGGCCAGCAATGTCGCTCCCACAACTGCAAGCAATGCCCCATCTGCCTCAAACACAGCCAACGTGCCCAATCTTTCAATTCTCAATGCAAGCAGCAAAAAGCTGGCGGCTTCAAGCGAACAAACACTTCAGCCGCAAAATATACCAAACCTATCCATACTCAATGGCAGCTCCGTGGCAGTATTAATGGCAACAACATCCACGACGCTGGATGCTGGCAAATCGGACAACGCCAGCAATGGCCGCAGCAGTGCAAGCACATCAACAGCGACCATACCAAATGTGCCACTGATAACGCTTTTAATTGAAAATTCCAGCTGCGAGATAAGCGACGCATCTGATGCGACAGCAATAACATCAAAATCGACCGCTACGAAAACAGTACCAGAAATGAGCACAGCTAGCTACAATAATTTGCCAGCGATAAGCGCATTAAATTTGAATATTGCCAGCGGGGCTGGGGAGCTGGATGGCAATGGAGCCAAGGCTCGCGGTGATAATGCGGACAACAACAGCAGCGGCACAAATAGCCTGAGTAATGATGACGACGACCAAGAAGAAGATGACGATGACGATGACGACGATGATGTGGTGGATGTGGATGACGAAGAGGCAGATGTGTCACTACCAAATCTGAGCAATTCCGATCATCAGACCTCTAATAATGACTCCAGTCTGACAACAGTTACCTGTACCAGCGGCGAGAATAGCTTTGAGTTTACCAACGATTCCAGTTCGGCCTCCAACGATGATTACACCAACAACATTCCGAATCTGAGTGAACTCCAGCAGTAGAGTAACCGTCCACTAATACGCACTAGTTTACTTTTTGCAAGCCACACCAACGCACACACACATTCCGTTAAGCACTAAAATAGTGGCCGTTAATGGATGTGGTTTGTTATACTAATGATATAGCTATAGAGTAATGTATATAATGTCCGGATAAGAAAAATTCTAACGCAAGTTGTTAACTGCCTAATTTAACATATCGCTTTAAATCAGACACAGCATCCATGACACCCAATGGAATGTTATATAATAATCATTTGACGCAAAATATTACATATTTGCATTTGTTTTCATCATCAAACTAAAGCACAAGTCAAGCAATCAATCAAAGCAAGTTTTGTATTAAAACAATTTTACAAAAAATATACATTTATAACACTGAAGAATGGTTTTCATAATCTCCGCCATTGATTTCATAATGGATTATGGCATATACCTTATTCCGCTGCTACCACTTTTGATAGCACTGAGGATTTCAAAAAATCATCAGGATACCCTCAGCTATGATCAACCGAGAAACAACAAAACAATTTGAAATTGACAGGAATATGTCAGTCGCGCTCAAACACAAAAAAAAAAACGGAAATTCAAACTCATCGATTTATCGACCACAGCGAGTGCAACTCTGTGTACGCGACACATCAACAACAATTGCGCATCTCTAATTTAGACCCTGGACTTGTATATTTTATTACTGGTTTTTCTTGAATTTTTCAAAATTTTTCGCAACATGGATGAGTCGGAACTGCTCTTCAATTTGTTCTACTTCCTATTGTGCATGTGCGTCATTTATCCGCCCGAGGAATTTCAGCGTCTGGGCTTTACAATCGAGCAGGTGTTCTCGCGATTCCTGGGAGAGGAATATCGTGATTTTGTTGGCTACCATTTGCGCCGCACATCACTTAATCTCTTCGTACACAGCTGCCTGCCCGTCACCTATTTCCTCATACACAGATTGAAGTTTTCAGTTTTTGCCACACAACAACCGCTCGAAGATAATGAGCTTGACCCGGATTTTCCCATGCCACAGGAGGCAGTGGCCTTTAAAACACTCACCTGGAAAATGGCGCAACGCTTCAGCGTGCTGGCTGTTTTAGCCGTGCCGGCACTGATCTTCAATTGGCATCAGCAAAACTGGCGCCGACATCCCATAAACAAAACACTGGCTAAATACTCGAATACTCCAGGCAGTTACAGCGTCGTAGCCAGCGACATTGGCACCGAGTTCCGTCGCCAGGATATATACAAAAAGAAACTCAACTCCATTAGCATGGTGATTGCCACAGAGAACTGGATTATCAAAACAACCATGTATAATGTCAACTTTGCTCATCAAGCCAACACTTCACTCAGCGTTGCCAAGGTATTTATCGGCTGCTTTCCAAATTTCTATAATTTTTAGATAGCTAAAATACTTTTTTGAAGGCGGAAACGTACAATATATCGCACCACGATCAGAACGATACCTTGCAAATGATTAGCATAGTTGTGCGTCCGATGCGTCAAGGTGTTTCCGATTTTAACATTCGCATCAATGCATTGGAATTTCGTAGCTTGGAGGATCGCCTTAGACGTCCTATTACCATACCCTCTAACATACAATTCCATCGAAGCGTCATCGATCGCTTTGTGGATGTATTCAAAACGCAGGTGGCACTCAATCCAATCTTTAGCTCGGAACCCATTACAGACAAGTGCTTTGCCTGCATGCTAGCCGAGCCCAACATCAAGATAAACAAGCAATGCTCCGATTTGAATCGGGCAGGCGCGCCTCTAACAGATGAGGCATGCTGCTCCAATTGCTATTGTCGGCCCATGTGGTGTGTGGAGTGCTTGGCGCGCTGGTTTGCAGCCCGTCAGAGTGACATCGATCGTGAGGTATGGCTAGAACAGAAATGCACATGTCCCATGTGTCGTGCCAAATTCTGTGTGCTAGATGTGAGCTATATAAGAGCAACAGTGGCCACCAACGAAAACGACGATGATGCCTCATGATTTAGTTAAGTGAATTAAACGTTTAAGGAAAAGGAACCTTATGCTTTATTTGATTATATTTTAAGCATTGAATTTTTACTAAAGTTAAGACAAATATACATATGTATATATATACTATTGTAATGTGTATAGTTAAAGATATGCATATGCGATTTAGTGCAATTATCACGTTTTAATACTTGTACAATCTAAGCAAGAAAGAGATAATAATGTTCATACATTTACTTTATATATGTAAGTACAATCGATCTATATATATATATATATATATATATATATATATATATGTGTTTATATATATTTAGAGAATGTCTAAGCTAGCGCCCAATCTGTTCTATACTCTACTAAAACTAAATAGCAGAAAACTAAAAAACACACAAAATAATCTTTATCAAGCAGCCTGCGCAAAAATTAGTCTTTTCCTGTGTTGTTGCAGTTATTGTATGTTTTTTTCGTCGTGTTCTTTTGTTTTTATTTTTTTGTTGTTGCGAATTTTGCACATTTATATAGTCCACACGTTGTGCAATAAACTCTTAGGTTGATTTAATAAAGCGTAATACAAATGCTATATAGGGGACACATATGTCTATACATATATATACATATATTTAAGGCTTTATATATATACGTAAATGCATGCATATGTCAGAATGTATATAGCTCCCGGCACTATCTATAAATTTGTTTCGTAAAAACTTTTATAGCTCTCCGTTTTGTCACGTTGACTTCGCACCGAGGACGTTCCCGTTGTTGTCGCTGCACTGCCGCCAGTTGTTGTATTTGTATTATAGGAGCAGGATGATTTGGACATGGCGCTGGTTGTATTGCGCGCTGAGATCTGCAATATAAGAGTTATAATAAATTTAACATCTAGTCAAGCAATCTTTAAACGATATCAGCTACAATTTGAGGTCTATTTAGATTAGGGCTTCACTTGGCTGCCAGCAATCAGAGACACTGACTTTCAAAAAGTAATCAAAAGACATG